GCCTGGGGGTGCTGAGCCTGGGGGTGCTGAGCCTGGGGGTGCTGAGCCTGGGGGTGCTGAGCCTGGAGGTGCTGAGCCTGGGGGTGCTGTGCCTGGGGGTACTGAGCCTGGGGGTGCTGAGACTGGGGGTGCTCCGCCTAGAGGTGTTTCGTCTCGCCGAGAGCCACTCTCCCCTCAGGAGCTACGTGAGTGGTTTGCCAGGCGCTGGAGGCGTGCTGCTGGTGCTGGAGGTTCTTCGGCTGCAGAGGGTACTACTGCCGAGCGTCCTGGCGGTACTCGTACTGTGGGTGCTGGAGCTGCTGGGTCTGAGGGTTCTCCTGGAGCTGGTGCTGCTGAGGGTGTTGACGCTGAGACTGCCGCTGGAGGTCCGACTGGTGGTGCTCCTGGTGGTGCTGCTGGAGGTTCTGGAGCTACTGGAGGTGCTGCTGGAGCGGGTACTCCTGCTGGGGGTACGGGTGCTGCCCCTGCTGTTTCTGGCGTCGCCGCGCGGCCCCGGCCGTACTTCGTTCCGCTCCTGCAGCAGGTTCTTGGTCTTACACCTTCTCCTAGTCCTCCTCCTCCTCCCTCAGAGGGTCCACAGCCTGTCTCGTCACAGTCACAGCTACAGCCTGCCTCACCTTTGCCTGCTCCTTCTCCCTACGCTGGTCCGACTTGAGGTCATACTGAGCGTCGTGAGCCTGCGTCTCGTCCTGCGTCGCCTGTTCGTACTGCGCGCACTAGTGGTCGTGGTTCGCGTCAGCGTCCTCCTCCTGTCCCTGGCACGCACCGGATGTCTCTGCGTCCGTCTACTGCTCCACTGCGTGCCCCTTTGCCTTCTCCTCCTGCTTCCTCTCTTCCTGCTCTTGCCGACCCGGAGTCGGACTCTCTTCGTGCTGCCAGTCCTATTGTCACGCGTCTTCTTGCTACTGCTGTCACTGACCCTTCTTTCGAGTCTTCTGCTGCGTCTGCCCTTGTCACTGAGCTCGTCGACTTTGCTGCGCGCTGTCGTCTAGACTACGCTGCTAGTCTTGTCGCTGAGTCTGAGTCTGCCTGTCCTCCGTCCGTCGGGGGTGAGTGTGCCCTTGGCACGGACGTCCTTGAGGACAGGCAGGAGGAGTTCCAGTGTCTGGCCGCCGCTTCACCTCATCTTGCGTCTGTACTGCTAGCCCCTGAGGGAGACCCGGATGCACTAGACATCCCGACTCCGCGCTCTTACGCGGAGGCGATAGAGGGTCCCTACTCCTCTCAGTGGCAGGCAGCTATGGATGCAGAGATGGCTTCCTGGAAGTCCACAGGCACCTACGTTGAAGCTGTTCCCCCTCCTGGGGCGAACATCGTCAGTGGCATGTGGATTTTCAGGGTGAAGCGGCCGCCGGGTTCTCCGCCTGTCTTCAAGGCGCGTTACGTGGCTCGTGGCTTCAGTCAGCGGTAGGGGGTTGACTACTTTCAGACCTTCTCCCCCACCCCGAAGATGACCACTCTTCGGGTACTGCTGCACGTTGCTGCTCACCGTGACTACGAGCTGCACTCTCTCGACTTCAGCACAGCTTTCTTGCAGGGCAGCCTGCACGAGGAGATCTGGCTGCGTCGCCCACCTGGCTTCACTGGTTTTTTCCCTCCTGGTACCCAGTGGAGCCTCCGGCGTCCAGTCTACGGTCTCCGCCAGGCTCCACGTGAGTGGCACGACACACTGAGGACTACGCTTGCGGCACTTGGGTTTGCTCCTTCTACTGCTGACCCGTCGCTGTTTCTGCGCACCGACACCTCTCTGCCGCCGTTCTACATCCTCGTGTACGTCGACGACTTGGTCTTTGCCACAGCGGACACTGCTGGACTCGCCTACGTGAAGTCCGAGTTGCAGAAGAGACACACGTGCACAGACCTGGGTGAACTGCGCAGCTACCTTGGCTTGCAGATCACCCGGGACAGAGCACGCCGCACCATTACCCTGACTCAGTCACACATGGTGCAGCAGGTCCTTCAGCGCTTCGGCTTCACGTACTCCTCGCCTCAGGCCACTCCTCTGCCTACTCGCCACTCGCTCTCAGCTCTGCCTTCGGATGAGTCCGTAGAGTCGAGTGGCCCGTATGCAGAGCTTGTTGGCTGCCTCATGTACCTGATGACCTGCACACGACCTGACCTTGCATACCCTCTCAGCATTCTCGCACGCTATGTTGCTCCTGGGAGACACCGACCAGAGCACATGGCTGCAGCGAAGAGGGTGTTGCGCTACTTGTGCAGTACGTCGGGCATGGGGCTAGTGCTTGGAGGGCGCAGTCCAGTGGTCCTCACTGGGCACGCGGACGCTTCTTGGGCTGACGACCAGGCTACGCAGCGGTCATCACAGGGTTACACCTTCGGCCTTGGTTCCGGCTCTGTCTCGTGGCGGGCTACTCGCTCGTCTTCTGTTCTCGGCTCCAGTTGTGAGGCTGAGATCTACGCCGGGGCTATGGCTGCTCAGGAGCTTCGCTGGCTCACCTACCTGCTGACCGACCTTGGAGAGCCGCCTCGTTCTCCTCCAGTCCTGTACGTAGACAACAAGGCCATGCTGGCCTTGTGTCGAGAGCAGAGACTGGAGCACAGGACAAAGCACATTGCTCTCCGCTACTTTCTTGCTCGTGAGCTGCAGCAGCGTAGACAGTTGCGACTTGCGTACGTGGCCTCTGAGGCCAACACTGCTGATGTCTTCACCAAGGCACTTGCTCCTTGTGATCATCAGCGTTGCTGCACGCAGCTGGGTCTTGTGCCGGTCTTGCCTCACTTGCTCACTTCTTGACCTTGCTTGTACCTTGACCTATATATACTCTTGCTCTTGCTTGCTTGACTCTTGTATATCTCTATATATGATCTTGCATGCGAACTGGCCTTGTGGCCCTTGACCTTGCGCTCGGAATGTGTGGTGACTTTGTGATCCACCCTGAGCTTTGTTTTGCTTTGCTTGACTAGTCTTGTGACCCCTTGTTCTCCCCCACTTTGCCTATGGGGGTGTGTCAGAACATTATAGCTTACTTATTTGTGTAGGCTATAGTGGGGTATCCCATAGGGGGTACAACCCAATTAGGGTTTCCTATTTGTACTCACTTCGCTCATAGTCATTCCATCCTCGTTCGCTTCTTCTCACACCTCCTCCTCCCTGCTGGCTGGTACGTCAGCCCCTCGTTCCACGTCAGCTTACTTCGCCCTTACGTGCCATCCACCAGCCAACTCCCACGACATCGACCCACCAGCATGACACGACCACCAACCGAACCAGTCATCACCCCCGACATGATCCTGAGCCACAGAGTTTGCGACCCTCGAGGAGCCCGAAAAGTGGAGTTTCTGATCCGCTGGAAAGATCGTACCCGCACCGAGGACAATTGGGTTCCCCTGGAGAAAGTTGAAAATCACCCCGTCGTCACCGACTACCTGCGTAGCCGCAATTTCCGAGACATCCACGCGCTTTCATAAGGAGGACCTCCTTAGGAGGGGGGGGGGTAGTGTAAGGAAATTCCTTTTTCCTTACTTCGCGTCCCCGCTCAACGCGTACATCACTGTAGCACATCAGTCAGCACCGTTACCACTCGCGACCATCGCATCATTCATCATCCCGCCCTTTTTCGCACATCGCATCCCGACCTCACGGCTCGGCTGGTAACCCGCGCTCCGGACCTACGCTTCGACACTTTCCCAACCTCAGTCCCAGGCTCGTCGCGCGACCATTACCGTTACCACGGTAGTTTTGCTATATAATGTTCGCTCATGCCTTCGCTCATTTGTATTCTTGCTTCGATAGTGCAATTCTCGTTCGTTCACTCAATTGCACTCGTAACAGGCCCCAACTCTGAAATTTTCAGACAAATGTAAAGGCTAACTCTGAAATTTCAGAGTTTTCCGAGAGTGTACTCTGATCATTCAGAGTACAAACGCGTTCTTGACTGGTGATTCGGACTTCACGGGATTCGTACTGTCAACGAAAAATCGCTGAGACTCTGAAATTTCAGAGTTAGCCTTTACATTTGTCACTGAGTTTTCGACCAATCATAGCAGAATCGTCCTGACACCTCAGATGTGCGCCATCAGAGCACAGCAATTTTGGCCAATCACCAAAAAATCGTGTCTCACATTGCTGGTTCTCCTTTTCAGACCACAAGATTCGCCCTCCCTGACACAAAAACTCGCCCAATCACAAGATTCGCCCAATCACCACAGAATTCTCCCTGACACAAGACTCTGACACAAGATTCGCGTCTGACATTGCAGATTCGCCGTCAGAGCATGTTCTCCCGAAATCCCCTTAGTCTAGCATGTTTCAATATCAGATGAAGGAAACGCTGAATACATTTCTGATGAACATTAAATACATTGATTTCGATGTTCAGACTTTATTTTTTTAGCACTCTGAAATTTCAGCCTTTTTTTTATACCAACTCTGAGAGTTACAGACTAAAACTTCATACTAGTCTGACGAATCAGACAATTAAAAAACGAATCTGAGGGCCTGGCGCGGGTTACCAGCCGAGCCGTGAGTTTGGGATGCGATGTGCGAAAATGGCGGGCTGATTGTCGAGGCGAGGATCGCGAGTGGTAACGGTGTTGACTGTGGTGCTACAGTGATGTACGCGTTGAGCAGGGATGCGAAGTAAGGAAAAGCGACTTTCCTTACATACACCAATCTTTATATCTCGTTCTGCTGATTGTAATCGAGTCGAAAACATATAGGGTCGCGAATCTGATTCTCGCGCAGCTTGGCAGGGAGTGATTCCCTGCCAGCTTACCCTGAGAGAATTACAGCACATGCTGACTAGACGCGCAGAAAGTGAGTTCAGAGTGTGGGAAATCGAAATTGTAGTTTCGTTTTCCCTGATTATGTGAAATTCGTTTCTGAAATTTGAAAGGTTTTCAAATGAAAAACAAACGTGCGCTTATAATATATCATCTTTTTCTAGGGGGTGCGCTTATAATCGAGGACCGGATATAAGCGCCCTCATCCTTTTATAAGCGCCGGCGCTTATCCGAGGCCTGCGCTTCTATCCGGGGGCTTACGGTATGAGTTGCGAGGAGTGGGCTTGAAGCCCCTCCACAACACACCCTATGACACCTAACCGCTGGTACGGCTCAAAGAAGAGCACATGGCCTGTGGACAGCAGCAACCCAAGAGCCAGCCCTCCTGCCACCACCTTAGGTATCGGCACCAGCTCTCTCCTCCCCCACTCCTTCCTCACCCATGCCTCTGCCACAGTCAGTACTCCATGTAGGGTGAAAAACACCATCTGCTCGCCTGTCATGGCTCCGCCTATGTACAGAATCACCAGCTCGTGCATCACTCCGGATACAGCAAACGAGGCTATTGTTGCTGCTGCCCTGGGGAAGCTCACATGGCGTCTGTGCCTGTTTGGAGAAGTACCGGTAGTACCAGCAGCGGCAGCAGGTGCAGCGCATCCGTTCTGCTTCGTTGCTTTTGCCTTGTGTAACCAATAAGTGTCACCACAGTTGTCAGTGAGCCCTTTCTGATTCTCTCCAGACCCGTTCACACAACCCATTTCCTCCTTCCGACTGCTCCTTTGATAGCAGCCGTTGATCCTCTCACTGTAACCATTCACCTTCTCACTGCAGCCGTTCATCTTCTCACTGTAACCATTCACCTTCCTACTGCACCCATTAATCTTCTCAACCGCTTCAAACCCATCAGAAACCCCGCAGCCGCGACCATTCACCGCATCATGCCCCCCACTGGCTGCTGGGTACCCATTTCCAAACTCAGAATTACCCTCCTTCCCTCGCGCTCTCTTCTCAGCTGCCTTCTCTCCTTCCGTTGAGCACGGGCGTTCAAGCCAATCTAATACGGGTTCGTAGACGGTCTCGCGCAGGCTGCCGCTCACCACGAGGTTCCACCGTCGCGCCCAGAACGATCCCAGCGACGTCGCTAGGTACGGGCGACGGAAGTGTGGCTCCACGGCGAAGCGCGGGGCGACGGCGGCGACGACCCCTGCGACGAGCTCGCAGAGGAGCGTGACGAAGAGGAAGAGGTTCGCGCTGTGCAGCAGCGTGATGGCCGGCGCGGGGAGGTTGAAAGCATATGCTCGGATGGTGAGGGATAGGAGGAAGGCTTTAAATGCGCCTCGCAGAAGCAGCTGGGGCGAGGATTCGGATGCGGGCTGCTTGTGGCGGCGGGACTGCTTTCTGTTGGGGGTTTCAGGCGAAAAGACGGCGGTTTTCGCCGTATCGCGAACGCGATTACGCATGGGCATGTACAGTGCGACGAGAAATTGAAGAAAGCTGGAGGAGTAATCGGGGTCCGTGAGCGAGCCGCGGTTCCACGCGAGAGCGAGCAGGCGGAAATTGCCGAGCCACGACACGGTCCAGAACACGAGGCCCTTCTCGATGCACTCGCCGCGTTTCGCGGCGGAAAAAACGCAGGGGACGACGACGTTGAGGAGAATTATGGGGGAGAGGGCGAGGAGGCGAGGGAGGCCTTTGGGTAGGTGGCGAATGAGGAAGAAGACGAGCGAGGCTGTGACGAGATTGCACGACCCGACCGCGAGCCATCGATGGGCCTGGCTCGCGTGCTCGACGGGCAAGAGGTGAAACTCGTCGAAATCCATGGCGCGCGCGGCTCAAATCTGGTTTTTTGGCGAAATGGCGCGAGAATTAAAACGAGAGCTGGGTTAGTGGCGCTAAGGAACCACTTCGACAGCTGGGGAGTACCCAGTCCGCATTATGATTAGTGGCGCTATGGAGAATTATCTACGTCGCATCGCCATCAATCGACAGCAACTATGAGAATAAATATGGAAGAAGGTTACACAGTTGTCTCGTTGTGGCTACTAGTTTCGAGCCGAAGCAGACAGCATTGGAGTGACCACGCGCCCCAGCTCCCCACCCCCACTTTTCTGGAAATTTGAGAAGTCTGATGTGCGTGTCGTGGACGTGAAGTTTTGCTGTGAGGAAGCACAGCACACACCACCTCACCTCACCTCACTCAAGGAAATAGCTGTGGAGGGGTGACGGTTGGATGGATGTACCTGGTCGATGTTCCGGTGAAAGGATCCTGCGGCTAGGATCCTGCCATGTCAGCAATGGGATTTGAGAACGGAAGGTGTGGTGCGTGGCTTGTGGTGTAGATCGATAAATTGTAATAATGGTGGACAACTGTATACGATTTACAGCATAAAACATACTCTCTATAGTCATTCCTCTCTGAAAGCTTCAAATGTTTGAACCAGCATGATGAATAGTGCACCAATCAGTACATTTCCCGCCTGAAGTAACACACCAGAGCCCAAACAGCAATTCAAGCCAACCCCGAGAGCACTAGCACACCTTCTGACACTTCGAGTTGACTGAAAGCATAAAAACCGACAACTGACCACTGGTGAGTATGGTACCTGGCGGCGGTCCGAAATGCGGAAAGACGTTGACGAGTAGGCTGGCGGCAACGCTAGCAGATTAAGAGCAGAACATAGAGGGGTGTTCAGTCGGCGACAGAGCAAGCGTCACTGTTAAACTGGATTAGCACTGGGTGGAAATGCCGAGACTAGCGAGAAGCTCGAAATTCAGAATCGTCCAGCCGGCGGCTCGCGTGTACGTTGTAATTGGCTTATGCGTCAAACAGACTCGCGTTGCTTCCGCTCGGGTCGTATCGTTCACGTCTCCATTGCGTCCGCACAGCGTCCGGAGTCAGTTTTCGGCAGTTGCACATTTTCCTGATGGTCTACGACATCCTCCGAACATTATCGCACTAGACCGTAGCATCTTCACGTAGCTCCCAGGAGGCCCCCTCGTTACATCCGCGGCATCGAACCATTTGTTCCGAAATCGCTCTGCGAAACAGTTTTCGCCACGAGAGGCGGCCTGTGCCTCATCCGGTTCGACGTCTCGCAACCTGCGGCACGGCCTCTGCTTTAACTCGCCCGTTTGCATTGACTCCTCCGCATCGACCAGTTGTGCTCTCCGACCCCTCCATATGCTGCTTAGCCTCTCCGCCTGCTGTGACTTGTCGAGCCACGAGATTGCAAGGCGGGGAGCGAGCGAAGCAGGAGAAAGCGAAGCAGACTCTGCTTGGAGGAGAGTGCAGCAGCGATGGTCGAGGCGCAAGGAACACAGGTGGAAGGCACGCGGAAGCAGCAGCGGGCTGAGGTGGCGCAGACAGAGGCAATAGTAGTCCGGGCGGGCGAGTCTGGACTCTTCCTCACGGGAATGCGCGTCGTGGTGGGCGGCTCGTCCAACAGCGTCGTTAATAAGGTCGAATGGGGCTGTCGGGTTTGTCGCTCTAGGCGTGGTGTTTATTGTGTTTGAGTCATGTGTCACGTTGTCAGGTCAACTCTTCTTGTGTCACGTTGTCAGGTCAACTCGTCTTGTGTCGCGTTGTCAGGTCAACTCGTCTTGTGTCACGTTGTCAGGTCAACTCGTCTTGTGTCACGTTGTCAGGTCAACTCGTCTTGTGTCACGTTGTCAGGTCAACTCGTCTTGTGTCACGTTGTCAGGTCAACTCACCTCAGGTCAACTCCCCTTAGATCAACTTCCGTCAGGTCAACTCCCCTCAGGTCAACTTCCGTCAGGTCAACTCCCCTCAGGTCAACTTCCGTCAGGTCAACTCCCCTCAGGTCAACTTCCGTCAGGTCAACTCCCAATTCCAGCTTCCCCTGCTGGCCTGACTCCCCTGCCAGTCACCATTTCATTCTTTTCACGTACCCCTTATTCGCTCGCACCATGGTTACATGGTTACTCCCACGTGCCCTATGACTCCCCTGCCCGACCACACAGGTTGAGGACAATGTGAGGCGCGCAGGGGGAACGGTGGTGCCCGCTTATGTCCCCTCCACCTCCCTTATGCTCATATGGTTACATTCTTACCCACATCTGCACTCTTACTCCCCCGTCCGCACAGGTTGAGGACAATGTGAGGCGTGCAGGGGGAACGGTGCTGCCCGCTTATGACCCCTCCTGCTCCCTCGTGATTGTCGATGACCTCACCATGGTAACACCCCTTGCGACTGGACTGTGGTAACTAGAACGTGGTAACACTCTCCCTCGTAATTGTTGCTGACCTCACCATGGTAGTAACACCCCGTGCGACTGGGCTGACCATGGTAACCCCCCTTGTGACTGTGACTGTGGTAACCAGAATGTCGTAACGCACTTCCTCGTGAGTGTCGCTGACCTCACCACCATGGTAATGCGGCCCCAACCGTGGACTGTGGTACCATGATGGGGTAACACACCCTCTGGATATGGGGTAACACACCCTCTGGATATGGGGTAACACACCCTCTGGAAATGTGGTAACACACTCTCTGGGAATGTGGTAACACACCCTCTGGGAATGTGGTAACAAACCATGATGGGAATGTGGTCACATGTTACAGGTGTGTCCCCTTCCTTTGCCACCTGCACCCATGCCGTGCAGCCCTCACATGTCTTTTCTCCCCAGCAGAACACTCCATGCGCGAGAACAGCGAGCGTGCGAGGGCAGAGAGTGTGCGAGAGCAGAAGAGCGCGTGGGAGGGCAGAGCGCGTGGGAGGGCAGAGCGCGTGGGAGGGCAGAGAGCGTGGGAGGGCAGAGAGCGTGGGAGGGCAGAGAGCGCGGGAGGGCAGAGAGCGTGGGAGGGCAGAGAGCGTGGGAGGGCAGAGAGCCTGGGAGGGCAGAGAGCGTTGGAGGGCAGAGAGCGTGGGAGGGCAGAGAGCGTGGGAGGGCAGAGAGCGTGGGAGGGCAGAGAGCCTGGGAGGGCAGAGAGCCTGGGAGGGCAGAGAGCGTGGGAGGGCAGAGAGCGTGGGAGGGCAGAGAGCGTGGGAGGGCAGAGAGCGTGGGAGGGCAGAGAGCGTGGGAGGGCAGAGAGCGTGGGAGGGCAGAGAGCGTGGGAGGGCAGAGAGCGTGGGAGGGCAGAGAGCGTGGGAGGGCAGAGAGCGTGGGAGGGCAGAGAGCGTGGGAGGGCAGAGAGTGACACCAAGGTGATAATGGTGGTGATGACACTGCCCACTGGCGCTGCTGTCCACGCCTCCCCCACTGCCCATCCCCCTCACCACCCATCCACCCCTCCTCCCTTCTTACCCATCCACCCCGCCAGGAGGACGAGCTGTGCGTGAGGGCAGAGAGCGACGGCAAGGTGGTGGTCACTGCCAGGTGGCTCACCCACTGCCTCCGCCACTCCCGCATCCTGCCCCTCTCCTCGGTATGCTGCAGACTTCCGGCTTCTGCCCGTATCCTTGCTAGCTAGCTGTTGTTCCTGCCCCTCTCTTCTGCTCCACACAAGCAACATGCTCTCCTTTTTTCAATAGCATCACATCTCAATGTTTGACACATTTGCTTTTGAAGTTACTCTGGCACAGAGGGGTCATGTGTCTTCACTGCACCTGTCCCACCTGTCGCACCTTGATTTGTCTCTCTCCCCCGCTACTCTCCATATGCCCCACCTGCCTGCCTGCCACCCCAGGTGCTGCATCGCCCCATGCGGTTCAAATGTGCCATTCCCGGTGCCTAGCACCTGGTGCTGTGGTAACCTTCCCCCGCCTACCTGCCCCACCTGCCACACCTTGACTTACTTCCCACTCCACCTACCCCACCTGCCTGCCTGCCACCCCAGGTGCTGCATCGCCCCATGCGCTTCAAATGCGCCGTTCCCGGTGCTCAGCGGCTGCTGCTGAGCGTCACAGGCTACAGTGGCAGCTTGCGGCGAGATGTAGAGGTGAGAACTGAAACTGCTCATAACGAGGTATTCAGGTACTTTGTAGGGAGAAAAAAGAGCACGTGGCATTCCAGGCGCCAAGCGGCTTGTGCTGGGCCTCACAGGCTATAGTGGCAGCATGAGGTGCGAGGTGGACACTCCTTATAACGAGGCACTCCTTAGCGAGTTTTACATTGTGAGTACGAAGCACGTATGGGAGCATCTTCTTCCATGTGAGCATCATTTCTAGTAACAGCATCATCTCACGTGTGCACCGCACTGCACTGCACTGCACTGCACTGCACTCATGCTTTTACTCCTTCCATCCTCCACCCCTCGTTCAGACCATGGCAAAGCTGATCGGTGCAGGATTCTCGGGGAAGCTAAACACTGCTGTATGCACGCATCTCGTGTGCTACGAGCTCAAAGGTTTGTGTGTGTGTGCGTGCCTGCGTGCGAGCGTGCGAGCGTGCGTGCGTGCGTGTGTGAGCGCTTGTACGAGTGCGGGCTTGTGTGCGTGAAGGACGGCTGCAAGATTTGAGGCGCATCAAAAATCTGGACATTTTCTTATCTGCTCATCTGCTTCTCTGCATCCTCCCTGCCACATGACTCTTTCCAACCCATGCTCCACCGTCCACCTTCGCTTCTCCACAAAATGCACCATGCATCTGCCCCACCCTCCCCCATCTGCCCTCCCCTCGCATCTGGCCCTTCCTCACGCAACTGCCCCCCGCCCCTGCATGTTCCACTGTGCATGTCCCACCACGCATGCCCCACCACGCATGCCCCACCACGCATGTTCCACCGCGCATGTTCCACCGCGCATGTGCCACCATACATGTGCCACCATACATGTGCCACCATACATGTGCCACCATACATGTGCCACCATACATGTGCCACCATACATGTGCCACCATACATGTTCCACCATACATGTGCCACCATACATGTGCCACCATACATGTTCCACCATACATGTGCCACCATACATGTGCCACCATACATGTTCCCACACATCTGTCCCTCTGCTGCTGCCAGGCATGAAGTATGACGTGGCACGCCGGCACCACCTCAGGATCGTGAACCACATGTGGCTGGAGGACTGGTGAGAAGGAGGTGTATGGGACAAAAGGTGGACTGGTGAGAAGGAGGTGTATGGGACAAAAGGTGGACTGGTGAGAAGGAGGTGTATGGGACAAAAGGTGGACTGGTGAGAAGGAGGTGTATGGGACAAAAGGTGGACTGGTGAGAAGGAGGTGTATGGGACAAAAGGAGGACTGGTGAGAAGGAGGTGTATGGGACAAAAGGTGGACTGGTGAGAAGGAGGTGTATGGGACAAAAGGAGGACTGGTGAGAAGGAGGTGTATGGGACAAAAGGTGGACTGGTGAGAAGGAGGTGTATGGGACAAAAGGTGGACTGGTGAGAAGGAGGTGTATGGGACAAAAGGTGGACTGGTGAGAAGGAGGTGTATGGGACAAAAGGTGGACTGGTGAGAAGGAGGTGTATGGGACAAAAGGTGGACTGGTGAGAAGGAGGTGTATGGGACAAAAGGAGGACTGGTGAGAAGGAGGTGTATGGGACAAAAGGTGGACTGGTGAGAAGGAGGTGTATGGGACAAAAGGTGGACTGGTGAGAAGGAGGTGTATGGGACAAAAGGAGGACTGGTGAGAAGGAGGTGTATGGGACAAAAGGTGGACTGGTGAGAAGGAGGTGTATGGGACAAAAGGTGGACTGGTGAGAAGGAGGTGTATGGGACAAAAGGTGGACTGGTGAGAAGGAGGTGTATGGGACAAAAGGAGGACTGGCGAGAAGGAGGTGTATGGGACAAAAGGTGGACTGGTGAGAAGGAGGTGTATGGGACAAAAGGTGGACTGGTGAGAAGGAGGTGTATGGGACAAAAGGAGGACTGGTGAGAAGGAGGTGTATGGGACAAAAGGTGGACTGGTGAGAAGGAGGTGTATGGGACAAAAGGTGGACTGGTGAGAAGGAGGTGTATGGGACAAAAGGTGGACTGGTAAGAAGGAGGTGTATGGGACAAAAGGTGGACTGGTGAGAAGGAGGTGTATGGGACAAAAGGTGGACTGGTGAGAAGGAGGTGTATGGGACAAAAGGAGGACTGGTGAGAAGGAGGTGTATGGGACAAAAGGTAGACTGGTGAGAAGGAGGTGTATGGGACAAAAGGAGGACTGGTGAGAAGGAGGTGTATGGGACAAAAGGTGGACTGGTGAGAAGGAGGTGTATGGGACAAAAGGTGGACTGGTGAGAAGGAGGTGTATGGGACAAAAGGTGGACTGGTGAGAAGGAGGTGTATGGGACAAAAGGTGGACTGGTGAGAAGGAGGTGTATGGGACAAAAGGTGGACTGGTGAGAAGGAGGTGTATGGGACAAAAGGTGGACTGGTGGGAAGGAGGTGTATGGGACAAAAGGTGGACTGGTGAGAAGGAGGTGTATGGGACAAAAGTTGGACTGGTGAGAAGGAGGTGTATGGGACAAAAGGTGGACTGGTGAGAAGGAGGTGTATGGGACAAAAGGTGGACTGGTGAGAAGGAGGTGTATGGGACAAAAGGTGGACTGGTGAGAAGGAGGTGTATGGGACAAAAGGTGGGGGGCCTTTGAGGCAACTCAAGGGGTGCCGGCACCACCTCAGGATCGTCAACCACATGTGGCTGGAGGACTGGTGAGCCTTGATGTGAATCTGAGGTGTTTGGGGCGAGGGGGGCGGTTGAGGCAACTCAAGAGCATGCCAAGGCTCTTCGTGCACTTGGGCACCCGCCTTCCGAGCCTCCGCCCTGCATGCATATCCTGTTTGCAGTGCGCCTGGGTCGTAAGGCTGCTTGTGCCTTCTCGCTTTGCAGTTTCTTTGCTGTCCGCACTGCACGTGTGGTCCATGACACGCCGACCTTCTCTTTCGGTCCATCTCCTGCCTTGCGCTGCATGTGCCCCTTGTACATCTTATTATCCCTATTTTTCTAATTATCCCAATTTTATTAATTATCCCTATTTTTCCCTGTGTATCCCCGTCCGTCCCATGTGCATCCCTCTGCATCCCTCTGCATCCCTGTTCTCTTGCCGTCTCCATCACAGCCTGAGGGAGTGGAGGCTGGTGCCAGAGGAGCGATACTCCGCCAGGTGAGATGCGATGCACATGAGTGGTCTTCAAATAGGAGCCGTGACTTCAAGTGGCAGCAACACTTGTGACTTTGGGTCGACTCAAAAGTCACATCACAGCTTGAGGGAGTGCCGGAGGAACGATACACTGCCAGGTGTGATGCGGTGCGATGCGATGCGATGCACGCACCAGCTGCCATCGCTCTCCCTCTGCACTCCTCTCGTCTTTGACCAATTTCAAACACGAGACCTCCAATCTCAAAAGGCAGAGGAGGTCAGGTCAGAGATCAAACACGAGACCTCTCCCTTTCGTGTAATGAGTCGAGTTTTAAGTCGACTCAAAAGGCAGAGGAGGTTAGAGATCAAACACGAGACCTCTCCCTCTCCAGCCTCCTCTCGCCTTTGACCCATCTCAAAAGCTGCCGCCTTGTCCTCTGCACTCCCAGAGTCTGTGTTTCCACAGCACCCCTGCCACCCCTGCCAGACTCCAGTTCATCGTTCTCCCCATCTCTCTCTCCTGCTCACCTTTTCCCCCCATCGCTTCCTGGGCCTGCAGCAGTGCAGGAGGCAATACCACTCCTGGCATTCCTTTGCCCATTCTTTTCCACTGTTCCCATCCTTTTTTAGTGTTGTGCAGCAAATATGTCCCGGAGGGTAGATTCTCACCTATGGTCTTAGAGGTTGTGGGTTCAATTCTCAGTAGCTGCAGGTTCCCTTCTCATTATGCTCCACATTACATGTCCACACTCTACCACACTCCACCACAGTGAAGTGTGGTCACAGCTGGCATTGCCACCTGTCCACTCATCCCACACTCACCTTGCTGGCCTCTATGGTGTGCCATATGCTGTCATGTGGGCTGTTGTTCCAGCCAGGCCCACATGTGCAACATGTGGCCTCACTTGCTAGCTTGGCAAGGTTGGCTAGCCTAGCCCTCAGCATTGAGGTGCTGCAGCTAGCCTCAAGAGTTCAGCCACATATATGTGGCTTCCCACTTCACTAGGGATTATCCTTGACAAGGACCTTGCTCTAGTCTTTAAGACTTGTACCATTTTCTTGCTAAGGAGATTTCTTCTTCCTATCGTGCCCTAAGTTCACCGATCCACTTTCTTCATGCTATCAGAGCTAGGCTTCTAGCTTTGTGAACGTCGCACACTTGATGGCTCAAGTTGAGACGCCTCTCGGTCGGCACACCCTTCCTATCTTGGAACCGGATGGTTCCAGCTTCATTCCATGGAAGAAAAAGATATGCTACATCTTTAATGTCCTTGGGCTGATCTCCTTTCTTGGAGATCCCAAGGTTGCTTCCCGCCCTTCCATTTCCTCCTCCACAACCAGCAGTGGAGATGCTACTGAAGGCAACAATGGTGCAGCCCCTAAAACAGCCCACTCGATTGCGTCGCTGCCGGATGAAGAAAAAGAGGAGTATGCGTACTATCTTCTCATGTCAGCCGTCCATCCTCAGCTCTCGCTCACACTTGCTCAAGCCAACACGACGAAGGACATGTGGGGATGCATCATGGCGCGGTTTGACTGCATGGGTAACCATGCACAAGTGGCTCTCCTCCGAGATCTCATCACTACACGGATGGACCCAACAATGAGTCTTCGCTCCTACTTCGATCGAGTTGGAAATCTTACGCACCAACTCAGATCTGCCGGCTTCGAGTTACCATCTTGGGTGGTGGTAATCTCCATCATTCTCAATCTGCCGGACTCCTTCAAGACTCTCACAGAAACTATTTGCACCGTGAAAGACATCAAGTCTATGACGGTTGAATACCTGCAGTCACGTCTACTCGATGCCGATTGGGAGCGGTCACAATCTGGTACAAGCCGCAACATGGAAGGTGCATACAACCTCCATTCCCAGCCCTCCCACCCTATTCGCTCCGGTTCCCGCCAGTCCCCTACTTGCCGCTACTGCAAGAAAACCGGACACACTATTGACGAATGCTTCAAGTTGAAGAAGAAGAAAGAGATCGAAGAAAGCTCTCGACGGGAGAAATCTGTCATCCAGCCTTCGGTGCATGTGTCAACAAGCTCCTCCGCCGACATCCCTTCGACCTCCACAACACCTACTGCCCCATCAGCCTCTCAGTCCATACCTGATTCCCGGTACGTTGACATTGCTTTCACCACCAGCCACGGCTCCATCCTCCCCACCTGGACTCCTCTCGTCGCTACTCTCTTCATCTTCACCATCCTCCTCCTCCTCCTCCTCCTCCTCCTCTTCCCTTATGGTGCTCCCTATGCATCGGCATTCACGGCCTCTTCATCAAACCTGGTCCGGACGTCTTCCTGGCTGGTGGACAGCGGCGCATCTTCCCATATCTGCTTCGATCGCTCGCTGTTTTCATCTCTCCAGCAGCCAACTGATGATATTATCGTTCGCTTTGGTGGTGGAGAGACTTACAAGGTCTTGGGAGTCGGCACGGTGGTGGCTACTCTTCGTTCCCAAACCTCGGAAACCACCATCCAGCTAGACAACGTTCTGTTTCTCCCTTCATCGGTTCACAATCTGCTCTCAGTTCGTGCACTTGGAGCTGCCGGCATTGCCGTTTCCTTCCCCATTGCTGGGCGGGTTGAGCTCAAGACTGATGAGGCTCTTATTGGCGAGGGCTTCACCCGCAACAATCTGTTCTATCTTCAGCTGCATCATGGAAAGAGTGCCGCCCCCCCCATCAACCCATCGGCATGTCCAGTCTCCACCACCTCCTCCTCATACCTTTGGCATCGCCGTTTCGGGCATCTTAACATGCGGGACTTGTCAACACTTCATCGGCAGCAGCTGGTCTCCGGTCTTAACCTCTCCTCCTCCTCAATTCCTCAATGCATCTCGTGCTATCGTGGGAAACAAACGCGTCAACCATTTGGTGTGTCCCATTCTCGCACCACCGCACCGCTCCAACTCATTCATTCGGATATTGCTGGACCCTTTTCATATGGAACTACCATTGGAGGCGCTCGCTACCTTCTCACCTTCATCGACGACTATTCCCGCCACATTACCGTGTATCTACTACGCCATCGTTCAGAGGCATTGTCGTGCTTCAAAGCGTACGTCACTCGGGTGCACAATATGCATTCCCCAAGGACCATCAAAGCGTTTCGCTCCGATGGTGCCTTGGAGTTCAATTCCGAGGCCTTCACTTCATTCCTTAATGCTCATGGCATCGCTCGACACCGCTCTACGCCATACACACCCGAACAAAATGGAGTTCTTGAACGCGCCAATCGGACTATACTTGAGATGGTCCGTTCCATGCTTCATGACGCACACATGGACAGAGGATGGTGGGGTGAAGCCGCTCTCACTGCTGCCTATCTCCGAAATCATGCTATTAGTCGAGGTGGTTCAGCTTCCAAGACTCCCATAGAACTATGGACCGGTGCACGTCCGGACGTATCCCACCTCCGCATCTTCGGTTCACCCGTTTCAGTCCTCGTTCCTCCGCAACGCCGCTCCAAACTCGACGACCGAAGCACGGCCGGCGTCATGGTTGGGTATGGTCATCTTGATGGCACCAAAGCTTATCGCATCTATATCCCAACTCAGCACCGTGTCACACTTTCTCGTGATGTCATCTTCATGGAGCCCTCTTCGCCACCTTCGGATGACCCTCGAGAACCTCCATCGTCATCTCCACCACCCATATCATCCTCTCCGCCTCCTCCTCCACCCCCTTCCCTCTCAGACCCAACCTCCCCTCCCTCTCGTTCACCTCCCATGACCTCTTCCACCACCCTCCTCCCCCCATCTCCAAATCTGCCAGCACCAGCAACCTCTTCTCCTCCTCCTTTGTTTTCCAATCTTCCTCTGCCCTCGACGCCGCAAGACTTCCGCCTTCCATCCCTCTCCTCTCCTTCTTCAGCTCGTCCTCCCCCTTGCACCTCTAGTTCCTCACCACCATCCCCTTCAGCTCCTTCCAATCCTTCACTTTTCTCACTGCTCAAGGTCCTACCCTCTCCTTCTGAACCCATTGACTTCACCCTTCCTCCTCTTTCCAAGCCCTCTGCTAATGCCGCCCTTCATCATCATTACGAACCTCAAAACATTCATGAGGCCCGCACCGGCCCTGATGCTGCTGAATGGATCAAGGCTGCTGATGCGGAACTCGCTGCCCTGCACGCTAATGACACTTACAGCGTTGTTCCTCGACCACCCAAGTGCAAACCGATTCCATGCAAATGGATTTTTAAGGTCAAGGAGCATGCTGATGGTTCTATTGAACGCCGCAAGGCCCGCCTTGTTGTCAAAGGTTTCAAACAACGCGACGGTGTTGATTTCCATGACACCTTTGCTCCTACCGTTCGCTTCGCCACCCTCCGCCTCTTCCTCACCATTGCTGCCGCTTTCGACCTGGAAGTCCATCAGCTGGACATTTCCAACGCCTTCCTCAACGGCACTCTTGATGAAATTCTCTACATGATGCAGCCTCCCGGTTATGAGCTTCCGGCGGTCCATGGTGTTGAGCAAGTTTGTCTCTTGCACAAACCGTTGTACGGGTTGAAGCAAGCGCCGCGGTGCTGGTACCGCAAACTTCGTGAAGAGCTTGCTGCATTTCACCTTTTTGCTGCCCGTGCGGACCCCGGCCTCTTCATTGCTACTCCACAATCTCCTTATCGGCCTACAGCTGCATCTTTCTTCATGCTTCTCGTCTATGTTGACGACCTCATCATTCTTTCCTCCTCCTCTTCTCTTCTCTCCTCATTCAAGCGTGCCCTTTCATCTCGCTTCAAGCTTCGTGACCTCGGTCCTCTTTCCTACTACCTTGGCTTTCACATCACTCGTGATCGGACCTCACGCACTCTCCACCTTCATCAATCCAAATTCATCACCTCCATCTTAGACACCTACTCATTCACACCACTTAACCCTGCTGCCACCCCCATGGACACCAAGTTTCAGCCGCCCGTGACTTCCTCACCACACTCCTCCTCCTTTCCTTACACCTCGTTTGTCGGATCCATCATGTATGCCATGGTGGGTTCCCGTCCCGACCTCGCATATAGCGCTGGAGTTCTTGCTCGTCACCTTCATGATTGGTCTACTCCTCACGTCTCGGCTGCCAAACGCGTTGCTCGCTACTTGAAAGGGACTACCTCACTCGGGCTTCTCCTTGGCGGCATTCCCAACACCCTTGAACTCCATGGGTGGTGTGACGCCTCTTGGGGACCGGAGGGCGAGCTCCGACGCTCCGTTACGTGCTACTTGTTCTTCCTCGGTCCGTCACTCATCTCTTGGCAGTCCAAACGTCAAGCTGTCGTCGCTACCTCCTCATGTGAAGCTGAATACTATTCTCTGGGCGCCGCGGTGCATGAGGCCTTATGGCTTCGATCCCTCCTTACTGCACTTGGAATTCCCCCACCCGGTCCCACCCGCATCTCGTGTGACAACAGCGCCGCCATCATTCTGGCCAAGGACGACGGCGTCTTTCATCCCAAGTCCAAACACATCGACATCAAGCACCATTTCATTCGTGATCATGTCGCCGACCACTCCGTCACCCTTCACTATGTTCCTACTCAAGACAACCTCGCTGACATTGGCACCAAACCTTTGCCCCGTGACCCTTTTCTACGCATCCGTGGTCTTCTCGGTCTCACCCATGTCTCCGCATGAAGAACCCTACCCCGGGGACATCCTTGAGGGGGGGTGTTGTGCAGCAAATATGTCCCGGAGGGTAGATTCTCACCTGAGAGGTTGTGGGTTCAATTCTCAGTAGCTGCAGGTTCCCTTCTCATTATGCTCCACATTACATGTCCACACTCTACCACACTCCACCACAGTGAAGTGTGGTCACAGCTGGCATTGCCACCTGTCCACTCATCCCACACTCACCTTGCTGGCCTCTATGGTGTGCCATATGCTGTCATGTGGGCTGTTGTTCCAGCCAGGCCCACATGTGCAACATGTGGCCTCACTTGCTAGCTTGGCAAGGTTGGCTAGCCTAGCCCTCAGCATTGAGGTGCTGCAGCTAGCCTCAAGAGTTCAGCCACATATATGTGGCTTCCCACTTCACTAGGGATTATCCTTGACAAGGACCTTGCTCTAGTCTTTAAGACTTGTACCATTTTCTTGCTAAGGAGATTTCTTCTTCCTATCGTGCCCTAAGTTCACCGATCCACTTTCTTCATTTAGAATTCTCGATAGTGTTTCAGAGGCAACAATCCCACCATTCCTCATTGTCGTTTCCACCATTTCCATCCCATGCTTCCCATTCTTTACTGATTCATTTCCATGCATCCCCTACCCCATCCATCCCATATATGCGGCTCGTGCGCACATACCAGTGGAGAGGAGGCGGAGCTGCAGCGGCTGCAGGAGGCAACAGCAGCGGCAGCAGCGGCGGTGGAGGCGCAGCTGAGAGCTGCTGCCTCGCAGGCCTCTGCCAGCACGCCCGCAACTCAACCAGATGCTGTTGGTGCTGCTGCTGCTACATGTGATGTGGGTGGTGCTGCTGCTACAGCCGGTACTGCTACAGCCGGTGCTGCTGCTGCAGGCCATGCTACAGGTGGTGGTGCAGTGGGTGGGCGTTCAGAGCACTGCACAGCAGGTGGTGACGTTAGTGCCCGTGGTTCAAGGGATCATGCTGCCAACGCACATGGTACCGAGGGAAATCGAGTTACGACAGATGAAATCGGTGCTGCAGTTGGCAGCGCACATGGCACCGAGAGAAATCGAGTTATTGCGACAGATAAAATCGCTGCTGCACATGCCAACGGAGGCTCGTTAGAGAAGACTGTAGCCGAGGCTTTGGTGGGAAGGACAGCCAATCACGCCACTCGTGCCACTAATGCCACTCGTGCCACTAAAGCCACTCGTGCCACTAATGCCACTCGTGCCACTAAAGCCACTCGTGCCACTAATGCCACTCGTGCCACTAATGCCACTCGTGCCACTAATGCCACTCGTGCGACGCATGCCACTCCTGTCACTCATGCGACGTCTGTCGTTTGTGCTGCAATTGCAGTAGCTGCTTCTGGTGCTGCTGTTGCTGCTGTTGTGGGAGACGGAAGGGGCACTGGGACACGTGGGGCAGTGGGTTGTGTGGGGAGGCGCGATGGGGCAGGTGGGGCGGTGGGTTGTTGGGGAGGGACGGAAGCGGAAAGGACAGGTGGTGCAAACGCAGGGCAGAGTGGTGGGGTAAGGGTGGGGGTTAGAGAGGCGGAGGGGGGTGTGTTGAGAGGTGTGGGAATGCAGAGTGCTGGGGCAGTGGATGTAGGCTGTGAGGCTCGCCGGGGAATTGCAGGGGGTAGGGAGGGGTTTGGGAAGGCAGTAGACAGGATGGTGAGAGAACCTGGAGGTGGTTGTATGAGGCGAGAGGAGGAAGTGGGAGAGGCGGAGGGGGGACGAGAGGGAGGTGGGGTGGGGACTAGGAAGGCAGTTGAACAAGTGGTGAGAGAACATGGTGGTGGTTGTATGAGGCGAGAGGAGGGAGTGGGAGAGGAGGTTAGAGGAGAGGAATGGAGGGTGGTGGAGCGTGTGGAAGGGGAGGATGAGGGTAATGAGGACATGAAGGAAGAGGGGGAGGAAGAAGAGGAAGGGGAGGAGAGAGGAGATGAGGAAGGAGAGGAGATGGGGGAAGCGCAAGGGGAGGAGGGAGGGGAGGAAGTGATTTGTGAGCAAGAGGACATGGAGGATGCGGAAACGGAGGAGGAGAGAGAGGAGGAGGAGTGGGGAGAGGAGCGAGGGGAAGAGTGGTGTGAGAAAGGGGATGAGGAAGAGGAGATGGGACAGGGGGACATGTGGCAGCGAATAGTTGAGGTGGAAACTGGGGAGGGCAGGGAAGTGCGAGTGAGGCATGGTGGGGAGGGCGAGGGGAGTAAGGGCGGGGAGGGTGATGGGGGTGAAGAGGCGGATGGTGAGGGGGGTGAAGGGGGGGAGCAGTCCCCTGATCCACAGGGCGTTGTTGTGAACCTGAGAGGCATCTTTGACTCTGTCAGCGACGGGACAGGCGGTTCAGCAGGTGGTGTGGCAGGTGGTGTGGCAGGTGGTGTGGCAGGTGGTGTGGCAGGTGAGCGTGCTAAAGCTGAGCGTGCTACAGCTGAGCGTGCTACAGCTGAGCGTGCTAAAGCTGAGCGTGCTACAGCTGAGCGTGCTACAGCTGAGCGTGCTACAGCTGAGCGTGCTACAGCTGAGCGTGCTACAGCTGAGCGTGCTACAGCTGAGCGTGCTACAGCTGGAGTGGTGAGTCCACTTCAGGCAAGCGGGCAAGCAAGTGTGGCTGCTGATGTGGCAGATGCAGCCGGTGATGTGGCTACCGTGGCAGCTGGCACTGGGAATGTTCCGGCTCCAACGACCGAGAAAATATCGCAAGTGAAAGTTTGCCAGCAGCAGCAGCAGCAGCAAGAGGAACACGAGGAGCGAGCTGCTGAATCAGCAGCAGTACCTTCGCCAACCGAGCCGCAATCACAGCCACTGCGCCTGAGTGACATGCACGCGGGCATAAGCATGGCGGTGGATATGGGTGGACTGAGCTGCAGCTCCAGCCGTGCTGCTTCTGCTGCTGCTGCTGGAAAACGTGCAGAGGGGAGAGGCTGTAGCGGCAGAGGTGAGGAGAGTGTGGGGGTGCTGGTGAGCAGTGGCAAACGTGCAGGGCCCAGCAGGCAGGGTGGGAAGCTCCCAGTGAGGCGTCTCAGGGAGGAGCAGAGAGGCGGCAGTGGGGACGGTGTGGGTTGTGCTTCTCAACGTTGCAGTCCGGTAAAGAGGGGTGCAGGTAGCAGTGAGGAGAAGGCGGATCGTCCTTCTCAACGTTCCAGTCCGGTGGAGAGGGGTGCAGGTGGCAGTGGGGAGAGGGTGGGTGGTCCTCAGGCTAGGTCGATGCACAAGGAGGGTGGCGGCTGTGGTGATGGCAAGGATGCGAGGGAGGAGGTGCGAAGGGGGGATGAGGGCGGTGGTGTGAAGGGAGGGGGGGTTGATGATGGGGCGATGGGAGGGAGTAGCAGCATGGGTGGTGCAACGGGAGGGGGGATTGAGGATGGCCTAGGAGGGAGGGGGGTTGAGGGTGGTGTTGTAATGGGAGGAGGGACTAGTGATGGTTCAATGGGAGGGGGAAACGACAATGGATTAGCTGGTGTTAGGGAGGCATGTGGTGGAGATGAGGGGGGTAAGAGTGAGGAGGGGGACTGTGAGGGGAGGAACAGTGACGGGGGAGACAATGAAGGTGGAAAAGTTGCTATGTGCAATAAGGATGTTGACAAGCCTGTGTGCCATGATGATGATGAAACGGATGGTAGTGGTAGCGAGGATGGGGTTAATGCTGGCGGAGGGAAAGAAAACGAGGCTGCTTGTAAGGGGGATGAGGATGAGGATGGGCCGGTCGTCTCCTCTCTTCCTGATTGGCTGCAGGGCGATGTGGTCATTGGCCACGTGGCACCCTCCCCATTGGTCAAAACGTTCCACAGGAGAAAGCCGGCCCTGGGCAAGGAGAACGTTGAGAAGGAGAATGTTGCAACGACGAATCTTGAGAAGGAGGTATGTGGGGAGCGGTTGGTGACGGTGGGGAGCAGTGACAAGGGGAAGAAGGGGGGGCGAGAAGGGAGGAGAGGGGGAGGCAGGGGACGGGGCAGAGGTGCTGAGAGGAAGAAGGATGGGCCGCTGTCAATGACTGTAGAGGGCGGAGAGGAGGAGGGGCCAGAGGAGAGTCTAGGGAAGAGGGGGCGTGAGGAGAGGGATGGGGGCAGGAAGAAGCGGAAGGGGAGTGAGCGACAAGAGATGAAGAGGCGGAGGGATGAGGAGGGGGTGAAGGGGAGTGAGGAGGAAAAAGGGGAGGTTCAGGTGGGTGGCATGGATGAAGGGGCTAGATGCGGTGGAGAGGGATGGGGGGAGGTGGAGGGCGGTGTTGCAGGTGGGGAAGAGAAGGTGCATAGGATTGGTGAGGAAAGGGAGAGGGCAAGGGAGCTGAGAACGAAACGCCGTGAAGATCCCTTGAGAGATGGGAAGCAGCGGGAAGAGGAGAGAGCGGCACGAAGGATGGCGTGTGCAGTGGACGAGGTGGGGGGAGCAGCTGGGAGAGAGCTGCGGCAGCAGGAGGAGGAGGAGGAAGAGGAGGAGCAGGGGGGTGGGAGAGAGCAGCAGAAGCAGCAACAAGGGGACATAGACGGTGAAGGGAGCGAGGGCGGATGGGAGGAAGAATGTAAGAGAGAGCAGCAGCAGCAGCAGCAGCAGCGGAGGGTTTTGAAGCGCCTCAAACTGGTAAGGCAGCAGCAAGAGGCGAATGGAGATGCAGAGGGGAGGGAGGGCGAGCGAGAAGAGGTGAAGGGGAAAGGCAGGGCCAGTAGAGGCAAGGCAGATGTTGCTGCTGCTGCTATTGCTGCTTCTGCTGCTGCTGCTGCTGCAAAGCGGAGGAAAAATGAGTCTGGGGCGGCTGGAGAGTCGCGGGGTGGGAAGAAGTGTGTTGAGAGTGGCAAGGGTGCAGGAGGAGGGGAGAGGAGGGGAGAAAGAGGCCCAGGAATCGGGTGTAAAGCGAGGAGGCGTGGAGGCGCTGACGATGAGGAAGGTGTGGGGGAAGAAATTGGTGAGGTGGTAGGTGTTGAGGGAGAGAGTGAGAATGATGTTGTGGTGGTTGGTGCAGAGGAGAGTGATGATGAGGCTGTGATGGTGCATGGGGATGTGGAGGACAAGGAGGCGGATATGAATGCACGCAAGAACGCACCTGCTGCTCCTGCTGTGAAGGGGCCTGATGTGTGTCCTCCGACTGAGGCTGCTGGGACTGGTAGGAAGAGGGGGCGCAAGCATGCAGCGGAGGGCAGTGGTAGGGGTGTGAAGGGCAGAGGGAGGAAGAGAGTGAGTGGGAGCACAGATGGAGACGAAGAGGAGAGTGCAGAGGAGAAAGATGCACGCAGGAGGGGGGGTGCTTCTACTGCTAAACCTGCACTAAGATCCAAAGCTGCCGCTACTGCCAAAACCACTGCCACTGCCAAACCTACTGATAATGCCATACCTGCTGCTACTGCCAAACCTAATGATACTGCCAAGCCTACTGCTACTGCCAAACCAGCTCCCACTGCCAAGCCCACTGCTACCAAAGCCCACACTGCTTCCCTCACGCCCATCACGCGGTTTTTCCAGCCAATAAGCAGCTCCAGCCCCAGTGGCACCGGTGGTGGTGCTGCTGGTGGTGGTGCTGGTGCTGGTGGCAGCATTGGTGGTCGTGCCAGCAGCAAGAGCTGCAGCCAGGCAGACGGGCAGAAACGAGACGCTGTGGCATCAACCAAAGGGGGGGACGAGCAGGGCGAGGCAGAGGGCAGTGGAGGCAAGGGAGGCGCGGAGATGAGCATGTGGGGGGGCGGCGAGCGGTGGTTCCTGCTGGGGGGGTCATCACGCAGTGAGGGGCAGCTGAGGGCCATTGTCACTAAGCTGGGCGGCCGCGTGTGTGGCGAGGCAGGGAGCGCTGCTGCTGCTGCTGCTGCTGCTGCTGCTGCTGCTGCTGCTGCTGCTGCCGCTGGTGCTGCTGCTCGTGGTAAGGGTGGCAAGGGCGGGAAGGGGGGGCGGAAGGGCGAGAGGGGGGAGGGAGCGGAGCTGCAGTGGCACCCCAAGGCCACGCATGTCATCCTGCCCCCGCCGCTGAAGCGCACTGAGAAGCTCATTGCTGCTCTGGCTGCTGGCCGGTGAGTGCCTACACCTCTTTTCACCCCTCTGCACCGCTGCTCACCCAATCCCCACTACTCACCCAGTGGCACCCCATGGCCACGCATGTCCTGCCCCCTCCCCTCAAGCGCACTGAGAAGCTCATTGCTGCCCTGGCTGCTGGCCGGTGGGTGGGTTCATCCATCCCTGCAAAAGCCATTGCACCAATGCTCACCCCTGCTCAACCAAGGCAGTGGTTTACGCAGGCTATACCACTGCAACGAGCCATGTCCTCTGCTTTCGTGTGCCGCCTGAGTACCCCCTCTCTCCCCACGTTCATATGCATCATACATATTCCTCGCTTTCCAACCCCTTGCGAACCACACTCCCCAGGTGGGTGCTCAAACCGGACTACCTCACAGCGAGCGCCACAGCAGCCCATTTCCTCCCAAAGGGCCCGTATGAGTGGCAGGGCGAGGGCTGCAACCGGGCCGGCACTAACTGATCCTCCCTCTCATCATCATCTCCCCATTTTCCTTCTAATCACCATCTTTCCATTCACCGCCTCATCACCGTCACCCCAGGTGGGTGCTCACACCAGACTACCTCACAGTCAGCACAGCAGTGTGTCGTTTCCCTCACTGGGACAGGTGGGCGCTCACTAGATGACCCTCCCTCCTGCCACACTCATTCTCCCCCCACACCCCTGGTGGGCGCTCACACCAGACTACTTCACAGTAAGCGCCACAGCGGCCCATTTCCTCCCCGAGGTGGCCGGTGAGGGGGAAGGGCAGCATCAACAAGTAAACACCAACTGACCTTCGTCCTCTAATCACTGTCTCCCCATGTTTCCTCCGTCCACCCCAGGTGGGTGCTCACACCAGATTACCTCACAGCGAGTGCCACAGCGGGCCACTTCCTCCCCGAGGGCGCGTTTGAGTGGCGGGGCGAGGGCAGCAACAGGGACGGGACGGTGGAGCTCGCAGCGCCTGGCAAATGGCGACAGCAGTGCAGCAGGAATGGGGGGAGAGGGGCGTTTCATGGGGTGCGGGTGCTGCTGGCGCCTCCTTCTGACAGCCCTACTTCCATGGTACGTGCATCAAAGGGAAAGGCTTCTGGTTCGCAAGTGGCTGCGGTACAGGGGGGGGTAGGGGAAGGGGGCGTCCTAGAGTGGCCATTTGTGAGTGGCGGGGCGGGGGCAGCAACAGGGACGGGACGGTGGAGCTGGCAGCGCCTGGCAAGTGGCGACAGCAGTGCAGCAGGAATGGGGGGAGAGGGGCGTTTCACGGGGCACGGGTGCTGCTGGCGCCTCCCCAAGATGGCCCTTCCTCTATGGTACGTGGCACGTGTGTGTGTGAAGGGAGATGCTGCTAGAGTGGTCGTTTGAGAGTGGCGGAGCGAGGGCAGCACCAGGGACGGCACGGTGGAACTCGCAGCGCCTGGCAAATGTGTGTATGAAGGGAGATGCTGCTAGAGTGGTCGTTTGAGTATTGCGAGGGGGGGGGGATGGGCAGCAACAGGGACGGCACGGTGGAGCGAGCAGCTCCCAGCAGGTGGCGGCGGCAGTGCGAGGGGAATGGAAAAAGAGGGGCTTTCATCGGGCACAGGTGGTGCTGGCGCCTCCATCTGTCAGCCCCGGAATCCATGGTACGGTACGAAGAGAAAGGCTGCTAAACAGGTGGCGGCCTGCAGGGCAGGAGGAGTGCAGTGACGAGGGGGGTTCCGTGGGATGCAATGCGAGTGCTGCTTGTGTTTTCCATCTAATAGCCCTTTGTCTATGGCTCGTGCAATAGTATGCACCTGGAATTGGCGTTACCAGGTGGCCTGGGCAGGGTAGAGCGTGGCATGACATGTCGCTGTCAGTGCCACACATGGCAGCTAGTCCCTCGCCTCGCTGTGCTCTGGCCTGTAGTCTGCTCTGCTCTGTTCCACTGCTGTTCTGCTGTTTCCGCCAGGAGGTGTCTGGAGTATAGAGAGTGAGGCAGTATAGGGTTTCTGGGTGTTGCTGATGCTGCTGCTGCTTTTCGCTGCTCTCTACCGCTCTTAACCTCTCTGCTCCTCGAGACTCTCTATCCCCTCCTCGCCCCTATCTCCTTGTTCAACACAAACTCCTGCAGGACCTGTTGCACCGCATTCTCACAGCAGGGGGGCCCGGCCGTGGCTTGAGTGCCAGAACTGCTCTACTCACCCCAAGACTCTCGATTCTCTCCTCCCTCCTATTCCCCCCAACTGAAACAACCACCTGCAGGTCATGGTTCTCCGCATGCTCACACCAAGGGGGCCAGCCGAGACTCGAGATCCTACATTCTGAGACCGTTATAAGTCCCTGGAGCTTTGAAATCCTGAGAGCCTTCATTCTAAGCCCTTGACCCTTGGCATCCACCCATGAGCTGAATCACCTGCAGAACATGCTGCAACGCATCCTCACAGCGGGTGTGGTGTGGGCAGAAGCGAATTGAACGGCCACACCCGCTGCGGCGGGTATGCGCATCACAGCTTCTGAAGCCGTTAAGCCCTGAATTCAGAACCTTGATTGAACCCTTGACCCCGTGCGCACATACAGGACGTGCTGCACCGCATTCTCACAGCAGGGGGGCAACTGTAATTCGAATGCGGCTGATATCCTCTGTCCTCTCCCTCTCCCCCCTCCGCACACAACAAAACACATACAGGACGTGCTGCACCGCATTCTCACAGCAGGGGGGGCGGACGTGGCTCGAGCCTCAGAGCCCTGTGTGGCGGCGGCTCTCGCGCCGCAGTTTGACTTCATTGTGCTCAAGCCAGGTGGGTTGGGTGCTTGTGTGCTTGTATGCTTGTGTGTTCCTGTGCATGCGCACTGGTGTGCATATGTGCTTAGGTGCTTAGGTGCATGCATGTGTACCGGCTGTGACTCAAGCCTCACAGCCCTGTGTGGCGGCGGCTCTCGCACCGGTGTGCTTATGTGCTTATGTGGCTCTCGCACCGGTGTGCTTATGTGCCTAGGTGCATGTGCGCTGGTGTGACTTGGGCTTCAGAGCCCTGTGTGGCGGCGGCTCTCGCCCCGCACTTCGACTTTGTTGTGCTCAAACCAGGTGGGGCTGTGTGCATGTGCGCGTGTGCGCGTGTGCACTGGTGGGCTGTGTGCTTACGTTTGTGCAATGGCATGACTTGCTCCGCACAGCCCTGTGTAGCGGCGGCTCTCGCCCGGCGCCTGCTCGCCCCCGTCGCGCTACGCCCTCTCCCCTCCCCCCCCTCGCACTGCTCTCCCCCGACTGGTTCATCACCCTCCTCGCCCGCCCCCTCCTGCATGCATGCCTCCCCGCTGCCCTCTTCTCTTCTCACGAGCATCACCGTGCCTACCTTGAGAACCTCCCAGCATCTGCTTTCTCTGTAACTGTGTTCTTCTCATCCCCACCCCTGCCTCGTCCCACCCCTGCCTCGTCCCACCCCTGCCTCGTCCCACCCCTCGCCCCATCACAGAGACGTCTGAAAGAGACCCTGTGGCCCGCCGCCTGCTGGCCCCCTCGCGCCACAACTCCCCCGCGGTCGTCTCCCCCGACTGGTTCATCGCCCTCCTCGCCCGCCCCTCCTCCATGCGCGTCTCCCCACTGCCCCACGTGCTATTTGACACCGAGCCAGCTGTCGTCGCCTCATTGGCCGACGTTCACAGCAGGCAGAGGGGATTGAGGGTACCAGTGAAGCAGCAGGAGGATGTGGAGGAGAAGGAGGAAGGGGAGGAGGGGAAAGAAGAGGGGGAGGAGGAGGAAGAAGACGAGGGGGTGGAGGAGGGGCAGGAGGAGGGGAAGGAGGAGAAGGAAGAAGAAGAGGAAGCTGTTGCTGACGAAGAAAGGGCAATTGGGAAAAGAGAAAAGCGCTTATCTTTCGAGAACTCGCTTCACACAGTCAATGCGGGTCACAGCAATGGCACTGTTGACGGTGATGAAGCTGGTGCTGATTTTGATGCGCATGCTGATTGTGATGCTGACACAGATAGTGAGAAAGATGATGATGATGAGAGTGGTGGCTGGGCGGCCACGGCGCATGTGCGTCTGGGTGAGAGCATTGGCCTCTCCAGCTTCACAGAGGAATCACAGGACGTTGGCGGTGGTATGGCTGCTGCCCTTGCTACTGGCGCTGGTCGGAAAATGAGTGCGGCTGGTGGTGCGGCTGCTGCCGGTGGTGGTGTGGCTGGTGGGTTGCGTAAGGGAAAGGCAACGGCTGGTGGTGGAAGGAATACAGGGTTGACAAGGCATCAAAGGGTGGTAAGGGGAATCTAACAAGGTGCAGAAAAGCAGAGTAGGATCAGAGAAGCCAAGAAAAAACAGGAAAAAAAAATGCCCACAGTTCAAAGAAGATAATGCCAGCACTGCACAGTGTGCAAGTTGTATGAGGTTAAGGAGAATAACAAAAGTTGGCCTATTCGTGCTTTTGAAGTAAGTCCTGCCATATAAAAGGTCACTGATAGCATGGCAAATGGGCATTGAGCAGCAAGTCATTTCTCTCAAGTGAAAACAAAAAAGCATGGTGTAGGTTACTTTGATGGGCCTTCTTCATGCGTAAACCTTACATCAACCTTACTAGCATTGCTATAATGCATGACACTACATATATTATAGCTTGTCAAAGCGGTACATGAAAATTCTGTAGCGAATATCAAAGGTGGATATGAAGCCTTGGAATGAGATTCTAGGCAAATTATGTTACTGATGTATGTCAACATGCAAGGTATTATTGATTTTGCACAAATGTGTTCTCGATGTTGTGACCAGACTGTTCCTATGGCGGTTGTGTCAGTCTCACCTGCCACCTCCCACTTGCTGGCAGCCACTCTTGGAGGCTTCCTTGGCGGGCATTCCTCCATCCGCCACTCTCCACCATTGGTTCACCGCACCACCCTTGCACCCTTCCCCCGAACTTTCCCGCAACCCCCGTCCCAACTCCCGTTCTCACACCCCCCTTCCCCGCCAACTTTCCGCCATTTCGCATCCCACCGCAACACCACCCTCCGCCAATCACGGATCCTCGGCCAGCGCTCTCGCTCCCTCACATCTGCCCTTGACTAAGCCGATTTGCTTCCTTGCTGAACTCAACGCAACAGATTTCCTGCATCCAAGTGTTAAGGGTGTGGAACAGATCTCAGCTAGGTTGAATCTAAATTCAAGTCTTTCTAAGATAGGTGGCTGTCCTGATTCGCTACCGCGGCCATGGCTCGTCTTGTGGCCTTCGTGTGCCTGCTGGCGCTTGTGAATGCCGCTTCTGCTTTTTACCTCCCTGGCGTGGCTCCTCAAGACTTTAAGAAGGTTAATATCTTCGCCGTAAACTAAGAGAGTTTTTTTAGCATTTATGGATTAGCACTAACTTCCGCGCAATGTCTGAGCAGGAGGATCCACTTTTTGTTAAAGTCAACAAGTTAGTTTCGACCAGAACTCAACTTCCATATGAGTACTATTCACTCCCCTTCTGCCTTCCGGAAGAGGGGATTAAGCCAGTGGCGGAAAATCTGGGCGAGATTCTTCGTGGTGACAGAATTGAGAACTCTCCCTATCAGGTCTGTATTACGATTTCGTTTTCTAAGTTTAGCAACATTATGCTGAGTTGTCGCCTTCTTACGGTGCGAATCTTACCTTCTCTGGGTCGCAGTTTCAAATGAGGATCGACGAGCAGTGCAAGATCGTCTGCAGAAAGGCGAAGGTTCCCCTAGAGGAGGCTCTTCAATTCCAGGAAAAGATCGATGATGAATATCGCGTCTTCATGTACGAATCGTTTTATTAACTTGTCTTTTGTATCTTTCAACAAAGCGGCTCTAATGTCTCGGTTTGGTCATCGCAGGATCCTTGATAACCTGCCAGCAGCCATGGTCAGGATGCGCGCGGAGGAAGGTGGTGAGTCCATCAAGACTTATGAGCGTGGATTTCCTGTGGGCTTTAAGGCTCCTTCCGAAACGGTATGTCACATAGCCGCCTCAGTTTTGTTAGAAATTATGGATCTTTAGCAGATCATGACCTAAACGACTAGTCCGTTCTTAATGTGCTTGCAGAATGGGCCGGATGAGTATTTCTTGCACAACCACCTGCGGTTCACTGTGCTGTTCCACAAAGACCCCACGAATAATCTGGCTCGCGTCGTCGGTTTCGAAGTCGAACCATTTAGGTAGGTGGCAACAGCTTTGGTTTTTGTGAATCAGCGAGCAAGCTACATGCGCTAACCTAAACATGGTCATTGCGTGCAGTGTGAAGCACCAGTACGAGGGTACCTACAACCCGGCGAAGCCTATCCTCACGACCTGCAACCCAGGGAACCCGACGCAGCATGTGGATAGCGGCATGCCACCGCAGCCGATCAAGGAGAACGAGGAGGTCATCTTCACCTACGATGTGATGTTCAAGGTATGTGATTTTATGTGCGCGAGTGCCGATGTTCAGAAAATGGATAAACCTACTAGATTTTGGCGCAGAAGTTAACCGTAAGATCGAACGATGGGGACGTGAGTGTGATTGTGCCGTTAGAAAACGTAGAAGCAACACGCCAGTGGGACGACAGTACTAGTCTGGAGCTATGGTGTGTGATAGGCGAACACATATAGGCTGGTGTATTATGAACGGATTCGTAGAAGACTGTAAGGTGACGCGGTCGTAGACATGGGATTTCGGGCAACAAGGCAGCAGGAAAGTAATGAGCCAACAATAGTTCAGATCCTTCAGTTTGGAGCCTGCACGCCTCGTTTAGTCCCCGCATTCTGACTCCTTGCGGTATTGGGTACAAGAAATGCATTTGGTTGAAATTGTCTGGGCTTCTTGCCTGTGTAAGATTCATGTTCATCTCTTTTGTGCTTTACCTCCCTCTTCCTTCCCACTGCAGCCGAGCAACGTGAAGTGGGCGTCTCGCTGGGACACGTACCTTCTCATGACGGACGACCAGATCCACTGGTTCTCCATCATCAACTCTCTCATGATCGTGCTCTTCCTCTCGGGCATGGTTGCCATGATCATGATGCGCACTCTGCACCGCGACATCTCCCAGTACAATCAGCTGGAGACTCAGGAGGAGGCACAGGAGGAGACTGGTTGGAAGCTGGTCCATGGTGATGTGTTCCGCCCGCCCAACTATGCCGGCCTGCTCTGCGTGTATGTCGGCACCGGTGTGCAGCTGTTCTTCATGACCCTTGTCACGATGGTGTTCGCGCTTCTCGGATTCCTCTCCCCGTCCAACCGCGGTGGGCTTATGACTGCCATGCTTCTGCTCTGGGTCTTCATGGGTCTCTTGGCTGGATACTCGTCCGCCCGCCTCTACAAGGCCTTTAAGGGCACTGACTGGAAGCTGAACACCATTCGCACTGCAGTCACCTACCCTGTTGTTGTCTTCGTCATCTTCTTCATCCTTAACATCCTGATCTGGAAGGAGAAGTCATCTGGAGCCGTCCCCTTCGGCACCATGTTCGCTCTCTTCTTCCTCTGGTTCGGCATCTCTGTGCCTCTAGTCCTTCTGGGAAGCTACTTCGGCTTCAAGAAGCCAGCTATTGAGGATCCTGTCCGCACGAACAAGATCCCGCGACAGATCCCCGAGCAGGCGTGGTACATGCACCCCGTGTTCTCCATCCTCATTGGAGGCATTCTGCCCTTCGGTGCAGTGTTCATCGAGCTCTTCTTCATCCTCACCTCCATGTGGCTGCAGCAGTTCTACTACATCTTCGGTTTCCTCTTCATCGTCTTCGTCATCCTCATCATCACGTGCGCAGAGATCACCATTGTGCTCTGCTACTTCCAGCTGTGCAGTGAGGACTATCGCTGGTGGTGGAGAGCGTATCTGACCTCTGGTTCATCGGCTCTTTACCTCTTCCTCTATGCGACCTTCTACTTCTTCACCAAGCTGGAGATCACCAAGCTCGTGTCAGCTATCCTTTACTTCGGCTACATGGTCATCATCTCCTACAGCTTCTTCATTCTCACAGGGACCATTGGGTTCTATGCTTGCTACTGGTTTGTGCGCCTGATCTATGCATCGGTCAAGATTGATTGAGTGCGGCTCAGTTGGCGAGATAGGATGAGTGCTGCAATGGGCTTTAGAGGTTGATGAGTTCTACCAACTTTTGGGTGTTTCGTTTGTAGGTACCTTACCTGTAGCTGATTCTATGTTGAACTTAGCCATCTCCCCGTTTTTTCCTTTCATAGGACGTGGTTTGAGGTCATGAACAATACAATACAACTGACGTTGATCAATGACCACTGTCGGACACACTACTGTAGCAAGTGTTACACAATAATCAAAGGCTTGATCATTAGATGGTTGAGAATGCGAACCAAAATAGTCAATCCTATTACTTCTGACATAGCATGACCAATCAACACCTTACAATGCTAAACCTAGCACCAATTGCTACTGCTCATCAATGCACACTATCACGCCTTGCCTCCTACCTTCCTCAAGACCAGCCAGAAGCTGGTCCAATTAGACTGTTATAACCTAGGATTAAATCAAGCACCGAAGTGGGTTTGAGTGCTACTGAAGTAGCATGTCGGACAACCATACACAGAGTGTGCCTTGCCAAAATCAGAACAGGTTGGCGAAAGAGGTCCAAACGGGGTGAAAAGCCGGACTGTGCATGATGGGTACGCCTTCGGCCTGAGGAAGTGGAGGGAAAAAGGTCAGTTACAAAAAAGAGGGGGGAGGACAACAAACGAGAGCCATGCAGACAATCTTAAGGCACTTACCGGTCTGGCCTGACAATCTGGATGGAAGGCGGAAGCCTCTTCTTCCCGTTAGGGACGAAATAATACTTTAGCATTGGGAACCTCCTCTGCTGTTGCGCCAACAGAAGGTGGTTGTTAGGCGGAGGAGGACACTCCCCCTTCACTTCGCCGTATTGCTGCAGCGCCTGTGACCAACAATAAAGGGGAAGGGTTGAGAGGGGGGACGGAGGGTGTGGGGATGGGTCAGGGGGGGAGGAGGTAAAGTGGAAAAAAAAGGGCACGTTTACGTAAACCCGTATCACAATCAAATCGGATCATTGAAAGGTGACTAAAAGCTGGTGAACCCACCACAGCACAGGGCCAGCACAGCGAAGAAGCAGCAGCGTACCTGCCGCACGAGCGGAAAGATCTCCGGAAGCGCGCCAGTGATTCCGACCCACGACAGCGCCCGAACGTCCTCCTCCGCGCACGGCCAGCTGGCTATCTCCACGCTCCTCCACCGCAACGACCCGCAGCGCGTCAGCGCTTTCAGTTTGGCGGCCTCCGAGATAAACTGAACGACTGCGCCGACGACGAAGAGGAATATTAGCGTCGCTAACAGTCAACACTCAAGCTAGCGGATTCAAAAAACGAAAAACCGAATAAACCTCTTAAGCTAGCGATCGGTCAACAACAGTGGTTGGATTGTACCTGCATCCCCGGAATAGGTGAACTCGATATGCTGTATCGGGTACGGACACTGCAGGTGCGACAACTGCTGGTCCAACCACCGTACCTTCTCGACTACGGGCACTCCTGCCTGCAAGACCGACAAGATAGCACCGTCGTGAGAGGGTGTCGTAAGCGATAGCGTCGAGCGACGTAATAACGTGACGCTTCAACGACTTGTGACTATAGTAAGTGATCTAACAGCACGCGGGGTCGACGTACCCCTTATTGCGCTTTCTGACATACCCCTTAATGGGATTAAAGACGTACCCCTATTCTGGACGTCTGCACGAGAATCTGCCGGTCGGGTAGGTGGTCAAGCGACATGTAGTAGGAGGGATCGTCGAGATCGCAGAGCTCGGGATTCGATTCGAAGTGCAATCTCTGAGGCGATCCGCCGTGAATCGCGGCGTCACGCGGACCCGCTCCCACACCGGCGGAGCTATTCAGCCTCGCGGCGTATGGTCGCTCCACGATATGCATCGCGCCGCTCGAAACCAGGACCAGATCCCGCTTTATATCGGAGCAGGACCACTTGCCTCGCCTTTCCTCTTACATCCTATTTTTAGAACAGAAGCACAAGTAGCAGAGGTTCGGCCCAGAAAGACGGTTGCACTAGGAGCGTCCTGAACGTTAGAGCAACTGGTGGAACCAATAAGCGATAGGCTGATGATATGCTGAACCTAAAGGAAGAGTTAAAAACTATCGCAAAACCAAGTATCAGCTGATAAAGACACTGATTAAGACACTGATAAAGACACAAGAGCGTAGGCACAGAAAGAAGGGAAAGTGGGGTAATCGTGATCATCAATCGGATCGGTGATCACCAACTGACGCGCGAGGACAGGCGAGAGTAAGAGCGGAGAGGAGACCAACTTGACAGAATCACAGGGGAGACGAGAGGAGAGGAGAGAGCAGAGGAGTCCAGTGACCCGCGCGAGGATCTGGGTGGGACAAGGGGAGAGGGAGGGAGGCGCGTGGGTGGCGAGGCGAGGCGAATGGAGGTGGTGGAGCCAGTCGGAAAGGTGGGCGAAACTCGGCGAAGAAACCAACTGGCTCTCCAAGAAATTGGTGGTGGTGGTGGATTGGTGGATCTCACGGCTGGCCACCCAGTGTCTCGAAAACGTTGATGATTTCGAGGTACGGGAAGACAAGCGACGAGAGGGGTCAGATTTGACGACGAACGATGGACAAAGCGATTGGAACCGGATGAGCGAAACGAGGGAGGGTAACGTGCGAAGAAATGGGACGAGGAGAATGAGCGGACAGGACGACGAAGCGATGCGATGCATGGAGCGCGAGAGTGTGCGACGACGACGGGCACAAGGAGGGGGCGGACTAGGAAAATTTCCCTCGGTGGCCTGTCCCGAACGGGCAATGCGACTAGAGGGGAGAACAATTTTGCGATGCGGTCAATTGCGGGCAGATGCGAATGCTTGGGGCAGCAAGCTTGACCACGACGATTTTGCAAGTGACCATTGAACTGCGTGGTTCATTGCAAGGTTTCCGTGATTCTTGAAGTACAAAAACTTTCGAGGTGGTGACCACCGAATTTCCAAATCGCACCAGCCCTGTGAGACTGGCTTGGTCGGGAAATGCAAAAATGAGGAGATTTCCAGGCCGCGTGTGCGTCTGTGCGTCAACGTCACACACCGAACGGGCTTAAAAGGAGGCCACAAGTTTGTTTCGCATAAGAGCACTGCACCAGTTACATACATCATAGACACAAAACTTTATATAGGCGGTGTTCGCCTGCACTTTTGAAAGCAAAAACGACGGGATCAGGAAGGTCAGGCACGCCTTCCTGATCCCGTCGGTTAGGGTTCGTTAAGGTCCGTCAGCATGTTCAGCCCGTAAAAATCCTGCCGAGCCTAGGATGCCGTTCGAACCAAATGGAATCTTGTGGGCATGGCGAACGCCTCAAATCCTCCATTTCAGACAGCTTCATGGCATCCGGAAATGGGGAAGCAATTTTGTCCCCGGGCAAACATCCCGCCTCATGCCATACCCTTTCGCGGTGAATTGTGATGGGATGGCGATGTGATTGGAGATCAGAGGTGTTACAATCCTAAGTGAGACTTATGTTGAAGGAAATTGGCCCAGGACTGACGTTTCATTTTAAGCCTCCCTGATTCCGGGGAAAATTTTCCCCCTCTATTATGGGTGCACATTTTCCAGAAAAGCAGTACCCTGATTGCTGAGGGTTGTTAAGTAGTTAACACTGATTGTTCAGGGTCGAGAACTGGACATCAGAGTAGTAACGCACGCTTTTTTACCGGGGAAAAAATCCCCACTCTCCATGAAGTCTGCGCGCTGTGTTTCCTGCTGGCTGTTCACTCGACTGATGTGTGCAGGGCGGGTGTGATTGACCTATCTGGTGTGCGAGTGTAACGTTTTCCTGTCTTATTACCATGCCCAATCGGATCTCTTCAGCTGGCATGCATCAGACACGCTGCGACTGTAGTTAGTCACCCTCAGAGGCGTTCCTTCTTGAGCGAGTGTACCGACCGAACGGGCGAGTCACACCTGTTCGAGTCTAAGATTTCCGCTGTCATAGCCTATTTCGACCAATCCCAGGAAAGTATATCTGACATTACATATTTGCGCGATCTCGATGGTAGGTGTATCAGATCGAAGTTTTGAAGAAACTTCGTCTCGATAAAGCGGGAAAGGGGGGAGATTACGCACATGTGGGGGGATCACTGCGATCAATCCAAGGCGGGGTCATCGGAATGAAACTTCCGAGAAACTTCTTCTCGATAAGTCAGGGTCCACACAGTCGATACTCTGTTAAGTCAGGGTCCACAAACAGCCTTGTCTGTTATACTGTACTCAAAATCTGGGATAGCTAAACTATTACTCTGATTGGATCAGGGCTGGAAAATCAATAACTAAGAAATTTCAGTCTCCACGAAGTGGAAAGCCTGAAATCACCCTAAAATCAGGGTATTTACCCTGATAAAATCAGCCCTGAGTTGGCCCCGCCCTCGCATGGGCAAAACTGACTTCGTGGTCGGGTCTGCGGGAGGTGCAGCCGACCTTCTACAGGTGTTCGAGGGTTGCCTGTACACGAGGTGTATAAGGGAATCCGTGCAAGAGTAATCGAAGCATCCGCGAGTGCAACTCAGCCTTCCCGTGCGCATGTACAAGTTGCGCAGCTCGTGCAGAAGTTCGCGGGTGTTCGTCTGCGCAGGGTCGCGTCTGACCCTGCGCAACCTTGAGACTGCACAGGCGAATTTTGGCCAGAAATTCGAATGAGCCCTATTTTCGACCAATCAGGAGCTGACATTTTGAAATGTCAACCGAGGTGCTCAACGAAGGTGCTCGACGAAGGTCGTCGAGCAGCGACGACGAAGGTCGTCAACCCGCGATGACGAAGGTCGTCAACCGGTGATGACGAAGGTCATCATCCTGCTGAGATGCCAGGGACTTCATCTGGTTGACCAAGTTACCGGCTCGACGAGTGTGCAAAGGTGTGCGAACGTCGTCGAGACTGTTGTGGCGAATTCGACCAACATGGCAGCACATGGTCGACGTGGCTCATCATGTGCAACTGTCAGCATGTAGCTGACAACCTGCGCAATGTACTTCACAGTGCACGTCGTGCATAACTGTCTACAA